ACAACAATGGATCCTGATCAGACTGCCAAGATGCGCAGGCTGGTCTGGATCCATGCTGGTTTGAAACGCATTATGTTGGTTTTGCCATGACTAAAACAGCTCACTTAGTCTTTGTTCTTTAATATCTATTTCATTTAAAATAAGACTTTCTTTGCAACTCTTAATATATTAATAAATAATATATAGTTTAATGTACTTACTTAATCATTGATTCTGGTATAACCATTTCATCTACAAACTGACTGAGCTCCCCACGTATAGACTGAAAAATTGAAACACATTTTAGCAAAAATATTTTCACCAAAACTAGAACTATGTAATTTTTGTACTTTTATTCTGCTGGCCATAACTGAATCTACCCATTTAACCAGTGCAAACCAAGATAACAGCTATGCCATCTCATTATGGTCTGCACTGTTCACTATTCAGTTCGTATTTATCTTGAAATATGATTGAAAGATGGATAAGTTCATTTAAGATATTTTCAGTGGTTTCTATTAAATTTCAATACTATCTTGCACAAAAAAAAAATGAATTTCACAATTTTCAGTACATTGATATTGTGCATGTTAAAGATTATAACATTTATTGGAGGAATATTTGTTTGCTTGCTTCTTTCATTTTACGCCTTTTCCCAACAGTATTTCAGTCATATAGGCGGGTAGTTTCCTAACCATCGTTCCTGGAGAGTTACACCAGTACTAGACTACCTTCCTCCGCGCTAAACTACCAAAGCATCTCCTGGGGATCGAACCCACACTAGAGAGGTAACTGGATTAAAAGTCATCAACTCCAACCCCTCGACCATGGAGGCAGTATATTTGAGGATTGAACATGCATAATATATATATCTTAACATTTGTGTTTATCAATTATTGTTCAATCTTAAATTTAATAGTCAATCTTTTGAAATATACAACTAAATTATCTCAATTTAACAGTTAAAATATAAGTATAATGTCACTTTAATAAATTCTAATATTTTTCATGCATCCAGAAACAAATTTCAGTCACTTCAGTACAGTATAGATATAAATCAGTGTTATAATGTATAAATTAATGAGCTGTGTCATGACAAAACCAGCATAGAGCGTTTGTGACCAGAATGGATCAAGACCAGCCTGTGCATCCTCGCAGTCTGATCAGGATCCATGCTGTTTGCTTACAAACCCTATAACAAGCAGAGAAACTGATAGCGAACAGCATGGATCCTGATTAGACTGCGCACATGCGGCAGGCTGGTCTGGATCCATGCTGGTCCGCAAACGCACTATGTTGGTTTTGTCATGGCACGTAATGATATTATCATGATACCTGTCTATTCTTCAACTTGACATTCATGGCTATACTTTGTTCTTGTAGTGACTGTATCTCAGTACTTATACTACTGAGATCAGACTGGAACCCATTCAACATCTCCTCCATCCTCTAAAATATAAACCAGTCCATCAAATATTACCATACCTGTATATAGTACAACCTCTACTGAGCAATACATTTAGGAAGACAAAAAATCTAGTTGTTGCGAAAAAGTGTTTCTCTAAAGAGGTGCAATTTATTTCATACTGTTGTTGTAAAGAGGTTATTGCACTACAGAGGGCCACTATGCAGAGATTAAATCTATTTATTCTTTTACATATGTTTTAATAAACTAGCCATTTGATAACCATATGGGCAAAAAAATTCAAGAGATTGTCTACAGAGATATACAGTACTAGTTCAAAGTACAATTTGAAAGATTATTAGTTTAAAAAGAGCTGTCACAGGAGACAGCGAAGCTCGACTAATAAAATACTGGTCGCAGTAAGGAGGACAAAACTATGAAAGAAAAATCCATTATGTATAATTATGTATTAAGTTATTGTAAAAAAATAACATTTGTTAACATTAATTCCAAGATCAAGGGGAATAATTCTAGAAATAGTCATGCTAGAGTTATAGACCTTGTCACACAACATTTGTGTAATGATAAGAAATATATATTTGAAGTTTGAAGTAGATACCTTAAAAAGTAAAGAAGTTATTATATTTCTTAAAGAAAATCCTAAGTTCAAAGAGAGATAAATCTGTAAATATTGCTTTAAGAGTTATGAACCTTGTCACATAAAATGTAATTGATGATAAGGAATAAGTATTTGAAGTTTGAGGTAGATACCTTTAAAAATAAAAAAAAAATAAAAAAAATAACATTTTTCTAGTAAAAAATCTAAGTTTATGGAGAGATAATTCTTGCAATATTGGTGCTAGAGTTATGAACCTTGTCACAAAAGATGTGGATGATGATAACGTAAATATATTTGAAGTATGAAGTTGATCCCTTCAGAAATAAATAAGTAACAGTAAAAAATAATATTTTTTATGGAAAATTCTAAGTTCAAAGGGAGATAAATCTGAAAATATTGGTGCTAGAGTTATGAACCTTGTCAAATAATATGGGGATGATGATAACGTAAATATATTTGAAGTATGAGGTTGATCCCTTAAGAAATAAAGAAGAAACAGTAAGAAATAGTATTTTTTGAGGAAAATTCTACATGTTAGTTCAAGGGGAGATAAATCTGAAAATATTGGTGCTAGAGTTATGAACCTTGTCACATAAGATGGGGATGATGCTAAGGTACATATATTTGAAGTATGAGGTTGATCCCTTAAGAAATAAGAAGTAACAGTAAAAAATAGTATTTTTTAAGGAAAATTCTAGTTTAAACCCCAGGGCTTTTATTTGAACAAACTTGGAAGACACCCATTAGAAGATGTTTCATGATGTAGAAGATGTTTCATGATGTTAAGTTTTTACTACACACATATAATGAAAAACAATGACCTTCTCCCCCCTGGCCCCCTCCCTGGCAGGGCCAATTTTAACCCAAGGCCTTTTATTTGAACAAACTTGGTAGACACCCATAAGAAGATGTTTCATGCTAAACATCTAAGCTCTAGCTCATTGGGTTTTTTAAAAGAAGATTTTATAAGTTTTTACTATACACATATAGTTAAAAACAATGACACCCCTGGGGCGGGGCCAGTTTTGACCCCAGGGCTTTTTTTTTAACAATCTTTGTAGACACTTACTAGAAGATGTTTAATGCTTAATATCTAAACTCTAGCTATTTGGGTTTTTTAAAAGAAGATTTTTAAGTTTTTGCTAAACACATATAAGGAAAATCAATGACCCCCGGGGCGGGGCCAATTTTGACCCCAGGGCTTTTATTTGAACAAACTTTGAAGACACTTACTAGAAGGTGTTTCATGCTTAATATCTAAACTCTAGCTATTTGGGTGTTTTCAAAGAAGATTTTTAAGTTTTTGCTATACACATATAAGGAAATTCAATGACCCACGGGGCGGGGCTAATTTTGACCCCAGGGCTTTTATTTTAACAAACTTGGTAGACACCCATTAGAACATGTTTCATGCTAAATATCTTAGCTCTAGCTCTTTGAGTTCTTTAAAAGAAGATTTTTTTAAGTTTTTACTATATGCATATAGGGAAAATCAATGACCCCCTGGGGCGGGGCCAATTTTGACCTTGGGGCTTTTATTTGAACAAACTTGGTAGACACTTATTAGAAGATGTTTCATGCTAAATATCTTAGCTCTAGCTCTTTGGGTTCTTTAAAAGAAGATTTTTTAAGTTTTTACTATATGCATATAGGGAAAATCAATGACCCCCTGGGGCGGGGCCAATTTTGACCCCAAGGCCTTTATTTGAACAAACTTGGTAGACACTCACTAGAAGATGTTTCATGCCAAATATCTAAGCTCTAGCTCTTTGGGTTCTTTAAAAGAAGATATTTAAAGTTTTTTCTTTCGGTTGCCATGGCAACCAGAGTTCTGCATGGAATTAAATTCTTTGAACAATTTTTAAAGGTGACCACCAAAGGAACATTCCTGTGAAGTTTGGATGAAATTGGCTTAGTGGTTTATGAGGAGATGTCATTTGAAGTAAAAGTTTACGGACGGACGGACGCCGGACGGAAGCCGGACGAAAAGCGATCACAATAGCTCACCCTGTCACTTTGTGACAGGTGAGCTAAAAAGGACTATAAGTTATATTTAGCTGGATAAGTATTTTAGTAATCTTGCCCATCACCCGATTTCTTTTCTAACAACCATGAAGTTCTATTCCAAAACAAGAGGAAGTTCTATTCCCAAACAAGAGGAAGTTCTATTCCTAAACAAGAGGAAGTTCTGTTCCCAAACAAGAGGAAGTTCTATTCTATAAAGAGGTTTTGTTTATTCTGTTTCTTCAACCACATTAACACATTTTCTCTGTGATCAGACCACTAAAACGGCTTTTCTTGATAACTAGCAAAAGTGATAACCAATTTCTAAACAAATGATCCACTGCTAATCCTCGATAATTTCTGTATCAGCAATGAGAGACTATGGTCAATATACTCCATGTCTGTTGTAATTGTCACAAAAACAAAATCATCTTGCCTGTGGATCTACCTTAAGCCAGGTAGATATAGCATGAAATCCACTGCAATATTATCAAGAGAAAAAACTGTTAAATTAACAGTTTCTAAAAATATGACCTTTGACCAGCAAATCAATAGAAGGATCCTGTGTTTTTTTATATTATTATTTCTGGTAGAAACAAGCATCTAAGTACTGGTAAAACCACTGACCATCAGTATGTAAGTTGACTAGTTACCTCATCATAAAGAATCAAGGCTTTGGTGGGACTCAAACACATAAATGGCCGGGAAAAGTGAATTCAAGTCAGCAACCTTAACCACTCTGACATGGAGATCTTGACTGACCGTCCTGTAGATGACATGGAGGTCCTGACTGACCGCCCTGTCCTAGCTGATTGTCTTGTAGATGGAATTTTCAACCATATCTATAGGTTTGACTTTATACACACAACCTCAGCGAAGTATTGTAAGTGAAAGAAAATAAAAATGCTGAATTACCTCTAGTATGGTGTCACAAGCTGCTATCTGTTTATGAAGGCTGGCAATATTCTCACTCTCCTTGATATCTGGTTCTTATGTTAAAAATTTATAATCTCCTATACACTGTACATTAATAATATTTTTAAAAGAATCAAAACAATAGGACAAGAGCTGTCAGTCAGACATTATGATTTAGACACTCAGATATAAATGAGCCGCGTCATAACAAAACCAACATAATGGGTTTGCGACCAGCATGCATCCAGACCAGCCTGAGCATCTGGGCAGTCTGATCAGGATCCATGCTGTTCTCTTACAAACCCTATAACAAGTAGAGAAGCTGATTGCGAACAGCATGGATCCTGATGAGACTGCGCGGATGCGTAGGCTGGTCTGGATCCATGCTGGTCGCAAATGCACTATGTTGGTTTTGTCTTGATGCGGCTCAAATATATTTTCCTGAAAATATCAAGTCATGTCTTGATTTCAAAACATGCAAAACAATAAAATTTATATCAATCCCTAAACTAACTCGATGTTCGTATTTTAATTCACAAGTTGTTGAATACTTTTCTATCATAATAAATATACAATAAAATTAACATTTATGAAATAACAGCAAACTCCTTAGTTTCCATAATTTCGATATCGCTTTCAATGCTTGTACATATCGTCCGCCAAATACTTTAAATCAATTTTCTTTATTTCACAGCGCCAAAACACCATTTTTGGGGAAGGGGCCTCAGCCTTTTTCTTGGGGAAAATATGCGTGATTTTGGCATACTTTGGGAAAAGGGGTCTTAAATTTAAAGAAAAGCAAAAAGCACTGGGAAATACTAATAAGGCAGAAAAAGACCTTAATTCAACACCATCATTTAAATTTGTTCTAATTTCAAAAGACCGGGAATTTTGAGGACTAAACTGGGGATAAAAAGAGGCAAGTTTGGTTGAAGAAGCAGCCTAAATTCGACCTATATTTTGGCCCTGTTTCAACATTGCACAAGGAAAATTTGTCATGTTTGAATGCATGTACATGTATATAATATATTCAAGGATACAGTCCTGTATCGAAGCATTTTCTACCTGAAGTAACTCCGACTCTATCTGTTTGGAATATTGTCGTAGATCAACTCCCTAAAATACACAGAATATAAAATATTCATTTATATGTTATTAGTAAAAAAAAATTTTTTATTGAGTGTAAAGGTAGATTAAACTTATAGCACCTGATTAATTCATCCAATAATGCCAGTCAAAGGTCAAGAAAGTGTAAAGCCCAACTTCATTTGCTCCAACTCTGAGGTACTGACAAACTTTGTTTTCAAAGAGAGTACGTTCAAACTTAACAGGGTTTAATATCAAGTATAAATTAGACTGTATTTTGGGGAGGGAAGTGGGTTAAAGGGGGAAGAGATGGGGCAGCAGCATTGGTAAAAAAAGTATACATCATCCAAAAATGATTAAAATTTATTCATAGACAACCTAATGGCATTATTCCATCAGCTAATGCTATCACTTACCAGGTATTCAGTTTGTTGCCATTTACTATTTTGTATTTTTATAGTTGAAGCTTTAGTAATTTATAAGAAAAACAGGCAAACACTCACAATGAATAATGCATACATGTAGGGCAACAAAAAGAAGTCATTTCATGTCACAGATAGGTCACATTATACCAATTTTTTTCATCGATAGAGACAATATCGATGTTTCATTGATATTTTTCTGTCGATCAATAATCGATACACATT